GAATTACTGTTTATTGTGAAACAAATATCGAAAACGGTAAGTATTTTTTCTTTTCTTATTATTTAGTACATAAAAATATGATAACGTATCGAAAAATGCAATATTACTAAGAATTTAACGATAAACGAAGAACATAAAATGTATGTATCCGTTCGTCACCTCTGTTTCATTTTCGACTACTGATATTTCGTAGTTTGAATTACACATTCTAATTAGAGTACATTTTATCCACTTCGTGTCAATTTACCTATTTTAATGTAAATGAACAAAAATATATTATTGGAAGATAGAAGGGTAGTAGCACACTGCAACGGTCTATAAAAGGAACAGCGCTAGCCATTTTCGGGGCCAATCCGTTAGTCATAGGTGCCGTCACCTACAGACCCTTACCGCTAGGTACGTTCCGTCGCAAATGGCGCAGACCACGACACATCCTCGATTTCCCTGACGATGAGACGACTATTGCCATCGACAGGATAAAACAATTACGCAAACACACCAGATCACACCATGGTTTTCCCCCGTTAATGGTAGAAGCGTCGCTGGAGTTTCTTCCGCCACTTCTTCTCCCAGCGTCAACACTTTCCGAAGCTGTAGTAATGTTAGACCTAGAAATTCTTCCAGTCAGATAATAGCTACCGATTGAGATCGGAATGCTAAACGGGTATTGAGTAACAGCCTAAGCTGCGATCCCCTCTCGGGGGCCCTTGAGCCTAATCACTCCATGGAGCAACCACCAAAGCGCGCTAAGAGCTTAGTGGCCTCAAAAACCGGCAATGATAATAACAGCGTGATGGCCTGAGCCGAGGCTCCCTCGGAAGCCCTCGAGCTAAGTCACCAAAACGCATAACCGAGGTTCTGGCTAGGCGTCCCGAGCGTGCGACTCAGGTCCTCACGGGACATGGGGGTATCTGTTTCGCATGGCAAGGAGGAATGGCCAACCGCGGAATGCAACTATTGTGACGTATGTGCCGAGGAGACAGCCCAAAACGCGCTGAAAGAGTGCCCAGCCTGGACGGAGCAGCGCCAAGAGCTGTGCACTATCGTGGGGCAGAGCTCTCGCTGCCACCCGGGTTTCGCGCTGTGGTTGATAGCGAGAGGAATGGGGTGCTTTCCTCGCATACTGCGAGAACATTATCACCCGAAAGGAGGCCACGGAGAGAGAAAGGGACGCAACACTCACCCTGGATATCCACCATCGTTGACTAGGGCGCAGGAAGCTGGCCTACGCGCGCAACCTTCCCCCCTGATAGTGAGACCCTAAGCGACAGGCATGGGGGTGTCTATCGCTCAATATGGGGCTCGTAAAGTGTGCGTACAAATTGCACGGGCACAGCACTATGTAGTAGAGAGGAGGCCCAAAAAGGCCATAGTCGCGCCGGGGTCGCGGAAGATTACGTCCATGTGTTCCCGTGTCCCCAGCCGAAGCGACAGGTTCAACGCGGGTTTTTTAATGGTTACCCGTTCTTATTGGGACTCTCACATACCCCTCCCACTTCCCCGATCAAAGTGGCAGGGGATACATAAAAAAAGGCACCTCGAGCGCCCTGCCACCAAAAGTCCGGCGGATCTGTAAAGGCCTCTACAGCGTGTGGAAGCTCTACACTAATTTATAACGATCGTGTCGGTTACTTAGAACTGTAATTAAACTCTACGGAGTTTGGCTTACTGGCCGCTTAGTTCTTTTCAACCGACTTCAAAAAATAAGGAGGTTCTCAATTCGACTGTATTTTTTTTTATGTTTGTTACCTCAGAACTCTGAGGAGTAGGAGAGAAAAGCATAAATATACCAAGTGGCCATCACGCCTGCAGAATCCAATTGATCTACCCACAGCATCGCTTGATGCAGCTGGAGCTTCGATAAAGTAGCAACCCGATCCGTGACTGTAGTCTCACCTTTATGCCTCCCAGAACAGCACCATTTCCCACAACCCAAACGACCGCAAGCGTGACAAGTAACCTTGCCATCATCCGACTCAGGCGCCAAGCCACCAAATCTCTGAGCGCTTTGGTGGACGCTCCATGGAGTGACTAGGCTCAAGGGCCCTCGAGATGGTATCTCAGCTTGGGCTGTCACTCAATACCCGTTTAGCATTCCGATTCGAGGGTGCCGAAGAAGGCTAGACCTCGGCTCAATCGGTAGCTATTATCTGACTGGAAGAATTTCTAAGTCTAACATGACTATCATTCCGGAAAGCGTTGGCGCTGGGAGAAGTGGCGGAAGAAACTCCAACGAAGCTTCTACTCGCCGGCGAATGCGGTGCGATCTGGTGTGTTTGCGTTATTGTTCTATCCTGTCGATGGCAATAGTCGTCTCATCTTCATGGAAATCGAGGTCGTGTCGTGGTCTGCGCCATTTGCGACGGAACGTACTAGCGGTAAGGGTCTGTAGATGACGCCACCTACGACTAAAGGATTGGCCTCGAACACGGCTAGCGCTGTACCTTTTATAGACCGTTGCAGTGTGAAATTTAAATTGTTTGTATGCTGTAAAGGATATAAGAACAAATGCACCAAGCTATGCTTGGAATGCGAAAAAACAATGTAGATATTTTTAGTTGATCCTGTGTTGTAAGGACGTTTTACAAACATAAATTTCACGCGGACAAACACCCAGATGCGAAACAACTATCTGTGGGTCACACAAATAGTTGTCCCATATGGGAATCGAACCCACGACCCCCGACGCCGAAGCCATTATCTTGGCATGAAGTCATTAATAAAATCTTTTTTGCTACAAATTTTATTTTTTCGTCTTAAGTGCCTAGAATAGCACAATAAAAAATTACTTTGAATTTTTTTTATTGGAAGTAGGAAAGGAACTTACTTGAAAATTGAAACACCTGTGTAGTCAGTGTCGGAACGTAGATCTGTGCTCAGACTGTTGTGTCGGAACGTAGATCTGCGCTACTAACGCACCAATAAATTATGATATTTATACTAAAATTTCTTTATCAAAGAAAAACACATTTTATTTATATTTATTCAAAACAACATGTATTCTGTTTTCATAACATGGAAATAAAAAAACTAAAACGTTTATCATCAATTACTTATTGATATTTTTCTTTAGGATGTTGTATTTATTGATAGCTTATAGTAAGAATTGCTCTAGTAAAGAAAACAAACATTCTCCAAAGGCAAAAAGATAATAAGTGTAAAGTTAAGCCATCCATATAGCTTTAAAATAAACCTGAATCATATAGATTATGGTTTTCACTACAAATAATGTTCCGAAGAAAGACGCAGTTGCAAAATTGCACGACTGTTTTTCACCTAAAGACAGCGCATTTTTCATAGTGCGCTAACCGACAGAAAGGTTTAATCTAGTCTATTTTAATATTGTTAAAAGGGATGTAAAGTTAAAGGGTTTTAGTCAAATAAATGTTTTATTGTGAGATATTAGTTTTCATCACAGTTTTTCAAGTTTATTAGTTTTTTTAGTTGCAAATTAAAATTATAACTCTTGATTTTTTGAAATAATTAGATTGCTTAGTTATTCAGCTTATTAACTATGATTCGTTTTTTGGGATAGTATTTTTAGTTTGCGAACGGCAAGAGTTTTTATCGCCATAGTCGGTAGCGGTATAATGATTAATGACATTTTATTTTTATTTCTCGCGCTGACGCTGGCGCCTGACACCGTTTTGACAACGCGTGGCGCTGGTGTGCCAGTGGATATTATATATTCTAATGATTATTATGACATTTTTTTCTTATTTTATTGGTTTCATTGTTAACCTTTATATTTCACAAGTAATAAAAATTAAATTACATTTAATTATCTTCACCATTTTTGATTAAATAGTTAATTTTATTAGATAATTATTTTACCTTCTTTGATAATATTCAAAAAATGGTGGCATATTTTACATTTATTAAAATACTAGTAAGTAGTTTTAGTTTGAGTTTAGTTAATTTATGTGAGTTTGTGACTTGCTTTATGAGTATTGTTTTTGAATTTTGAACTTTGAGTTTTAAATTTTAAGTTGGTAACATTGCATTCCTTATATATAAATAAGCATCATCTCAAAAATGGTCGTCACTGTGTTGTATTCTTTTCTTATAAATGTATTAACGTATAAGACCTGACTTTATTATTCATAGTTGTATAGGAATATTTGTAAGTGTTTTCAGTGTTTCCGTTTACCATTACATATTCTTTTTGTATTGTAATTCAGTTGGAATAATTTTACCGGTTTTAAATATTTGTTTTATTCGTAATAAAACTCATTAATAAGGTAGAAATGGAAAACAAATGTGATTTTCGTTATCCACATACATTTGTACTACTTGGTGCGTCAGGAGATTTAGCAAAGAAAAAAATCTACCCAACCCTATGGTATTTATATCGAGATAATCTTTTGCCGAAGACTATAAAATTTGTAGGTTATTCTAGGACTAAGCAGACTATACAGGAAGTAAGAGAAAAGTGTGCAAAATATATGAAAGTTCGCCCAGGGGAAGAAGAGAAATTTGAAGCATTTTGGGATGTTAATTCATATTTATCGGGATATTATGACAAGAGAATTGACTATGAACTATTAAACCAACATATTAGCAAATTTGAGAATGGTCCTGTCGCTAATAGAATTTTTTATTTGGCCGTACCTCCTACTGTATTTGAAGAAGTGACTGTAAACATTAGAAATGCATGTCATGCTATAAAAGGTTTTACAAGAGTAATTATTGAAAAACCTTTTGGAAGAGATGATGAAAGTTCGGAAAAATTAAGTAACCATTTAGCTGGTTTGTTTAAAGAAGAACAAATTTACAGAATTGACCATTATTTGGGGAAAGAGATGGTGCAAAATTTGATGACTATTAGATTTGCTAACCAAATTTTTAATCCTTCTTGGAATAGAGAAAATATAGCTTCAGTTCTTATTTCATTCAAAGAGCCATTTGGCACAGAAGGCCGTGGTGGGTATTTTGATAATTTTGGTATCATGAGGGATGTCATGCAAAATCATCTTCTTCAAATTTTGTCATTAGTGGCTATGGAGAAACCAGTTACTATGAATCCGAATGACATAAGAGATGAAAAAGTAAAGGTTCTTAGACACATTCCACCAATAAAACTTAGTGATATCCTAGTTGGACAATATGTAGGGAACCCTAACGGCAAAGAAGATGAAAAACTTGGCTACCTTGATGATCCAACTGTGCCGAAAGACTCTGTTACTCCAACATATGCCTTAGCTGTTGTGTGGATAAATAATACAAGATGGCAAGGTGTTCCATTTATTCTTCGCTGTGGAAAGGCACTTAATGAAAGAAAAGCTGAAGTAAGAGTACAATACAAAGATGTGCCAGGAGATATTTTTGGCCATACTAAACGAAATGAATTTGTTATAAGAGTACAACCAGGTGAAGCTTTATATTTAAAACTTATGTCCAAGTCTCCTGGAATGAAATTTGATTTGACTGAAACGGAGTTGGACTTAACATACAGTTTACGTTACAAAGGAGCAGATGTTCCGGATGCTTATGAAAGGTTAATTTTAGATGTCTTCACCGGCACACAAATGCATTTTGTACGTAGTGACGAATTAAAAGAGGCTTGGCGTATTTTTACTCCAGTTCTGAAAAATTTGGAAGAACAGCACATCAAACCTATTCCATATGTATTTGGATCTAGAGGACCTTCTGAAGCTGATGCCAAATTAGCTGAAAATGATTTCAAATACTCAGGCTCTTATAAATGGGAAAAACCTACACCTTGAACTAGCATTTATTTATTAATAAGAGAAACATAATGGTATGGGTATGATTAAATTTGTAGTATTTATTTTTCCTACTTTACAACTTAAGGTGCACTTGCATAATAATGTAAAATTTAAGGAAATTGACAGACTTTTTGAAGTTGCATTCCATTTTTCATGTTTCAATTATTATAAAATTAGAGGTCATTTTGAGGTCAAACAATAATTTGTGTTTAAGGTGCATAATTATATTTGTTTATTAAATTATAGCAATTATAACAAAAATATTATTATTTTAAGCCTTATCTTGGAAATGACATCACAATTTTTCCCTTAATAAGCACTACTTTTTCTGTGATTATGCAGAGGTCATGGGTATCACATTGAAACACAACATTTATTGATTCACAGTTTATCATTGTAAAGTAATGCATTGCCTCTACTAATAAGAAAAATGAGTACTATCATTCCTATTTAAACTTAATTTTGTTTATAAGCATGTTATATTTATAATTATGTATGCTTTGTTCTTAAAGTCCATGTTTTAAATGTATTAATGATTTCACATTTTAATATCAAAATTAGCAGCAACAATAGTTGCAAGTCATTTTATATATAAAGTGAGTGACATAACAATTCTTAGTCATTTTATCAATTGATTTATATGTTAAAGATATACCTATATTATCATATACAATACTGGTTGTTTATGTTTTGAAATGATAGGGGTCTTGAAAATGAAATGTAGTTATTTTTGGAAATATTTACTATATTTTTTATAATAGGGATACTTATGTAAAAAGTCCATCTAATTTTTATTCATGTTAAATAATTAAATGTTTAGAGTATGAGGGAACTTTACATTTTTCTAAAGGTTTTACATTTTCTTAATATAAATATGAGTTCAACATATGCTTTTTATTTCTCCACATATGTCATCAAAATGTTTATTTGTATGTATTTTAAAATATTAAAGTTGAGTAAAAATATTTTTGCTAAATACATGACAATTCAGCAATCTTTTGATCTTCAATCTTCAATCAATCTTCAGATATCTTTTCTTAGATCCCAAAAGTAAAGTGCTGTCATCAGCAAAACTTAAACTATTAACTATAGACATTGGAACTAAATGTTTCTTCCATTTGGCATGATTTGACAATTCTTAGGAGGGTACAATAATTCTTGTTTCTTAATATATGTATATAATATCAAAATATACAAATCTAGAATATAGAAATATGTGAAATATCAAAATTCATAATGATTAATTTTTATTTTACTTGTATACAGCGTGTCATAAAATAAAATTGGTATACAATGTGTCTACGCTGTATACTGATTATATGTTTTATAATAAATGAATAAGTTAACAAGATATTAAGACCTCCTTAGCTTAGTGATTATTATGGCAGAGATATCCTGATTACACCAGGTAGGTTTCTAGTGGTCACATCAAACCTTTATGCCCAGTCCTTTCACATTTGGAACAAAATAAGCTTGATTAAATGTGGCATAGCATTATCCATTTCTGTCTACTTGTTACCAGGCTTAACTATACTTATTATCTAAACCTAATAATTTTAAGCAGATTTCTATCCTATATGCCATGTCAATGTTTTTATTAAACATAGGCTGAAAGAGGTCCTTATTACATTAGGTCTGACAATGGTTTCTTCACAAATTCTAAAATTTCCTTGGAAAAGAAGACAAAAGATTTTTTTCTCATCCTTTTCCTAAATAAAAATAAGCAAGAGTTACTACTCCTATCTTTATACCTATCAAGTAAAAGATAGTTGTGTAAAATCGGTCTAGTTGTTTTATACATTATCTTAGCTAGTTGCAAAGAGTACTTTAATATAACTGAAGCTAGCTGGAATGAGTTTAATGTATATGTATAGAGAACGAAGATGAGTGATATAGTTGCTATGGGTGTGTCTGTGTTTTTGTGTAACCTAGCATGTGATGTGGTGGCGAAAATGTTGAAAATAATTAAGTAATTTTTAGCCACATACTATTAAAATATTTACGATATTAAAGACTTAACAAAATTACGCGTTATCTAACTAACCTAACCCACGCGGTATGGTGAACGTCGTGATTATAATATTCTCTTTAGTATGGTCAAAACAGCGCTAGCTGCATTTCCTAGCTGAATTGTGGTACTTAACCTTCGATCGAATAACGACTGGCCCTATTATCGCTAGATACAGTAATTATTAATTAAGTATAAGTACCTATTAATTTTCATAATAAAAAAGAAAACTGCCAAGTGCGAGTTTGACTCGCACACGAAAGGACCGAACCATTAATTTTTCATATCGATAGACAATCGATTATATATCGATAGTTAAGATAAAGCAATTGTATCAGTAGCCTATCGATAGTATTGTCACGTGTCAATACAAGTGCTCTCCGAGTGCCAATATTGCTAACAGCAATACTATCAATAGTAATGATGCGATAGTATCGATATTATTGCAATTGCCATTATTGTTCGACAAAAACTATCGATTATATATAAATAGACTTTTACTGGCTATCGATAGTACAAACCTATCGAGGCTTAAAATCAAACAGGACGAGTCGCTGTGGCCTGTCTTTTAGGACCAATCTCTTTTTGACCCATTATTACCTTCGTTTTAAAAAATTCATTGTTTTTTTACAAAGTTAAATAAACATTTAATAAGTTATTTTTTTATTCGATTCAGGGCTAACGAAACTGTTTTATCTAACTAAATAAGCTATTTGTTTTTTCCAATGAAGGTTTTGATAAATAATATATCTAGAAATTTAGATTAATAAAAAAAAATTTATTGAAATTAATAAATAGTTAACGTTTTATTAAAATTTCTCATTCATTTACATAATGTGAACTCGGTATAAAAAATACTATTACTTATTATTGAATCAGACTGTACTAAATACATTATTTCTTTAAAACTGAAAACTTGACCAATATATCGATATTCTTCTTCGATATATTGAGGCCGATATTGATATTTTTTTAAATATCGATATTTTTTTCGACTTTTATCCCTAACGCCGCCCATGGAATGGACAGAAGCTACCAAAGAGTACATTATTAATACACCACCAATAATTATTTGTACACCAGCGGGTTTGCAGATGCGTTGACAATCTTTTTAGAAATTGGGCTCCGGCTACCTCACTCACCAGACGAAACGCGAAAGTATTATACTTCCACTTTACGCCGGTCTTCTGTGTGGTTGTGGTACTTACCCGGACGAGCCTGCCCATTCGTGCTACAGCAAAGGCTGCTGCGTGGCCCTACCACCGTAAATACATTCATTTGAACTTATCTCAAAAAGTGCTTGATTTATTGGCAACTCGTTTATTTTACGCGCGATTATTTATAACTAACACACATACAAGTTCGTTTCAAAAGTATACGAGTTACGAGGCATTTGTGAATGACTACCGCATTGTCAACAAGTTCTGTTTTTTTTTAGGGAATAGAATAGCTATATTTTTGAAAAAAAGAAATAAGTTTGTTTTTATTTCAATAAACGATTATACTGCTGAGTCTAAACCTCCTGTGTGAATTTGGACACCCTTAGAAAAGCCAACCTGATATCTAAAAGTACTTTCTGAGAAATACACTTCAGTATATATAAAATGTTTTACCTATGGAAATACATAATTTGTTAAAATTTCAACAGTCTAACTATCACGGTTCATGAGATACAGCTTATGTGACAGATGGACAAATACAGACATTCATGAAGGGAGTGAGAAGTCCCCCAGACGTAACGTCCGACCTGCACAGCTATTACAGACTCCCAACGATTCACGAACATTTTAGATCTGACCAAACGGTTCTTCGATAGAGCCCAGCATCATCCCAACCCTGTGGCGGTAAGCGCAGCAAATTACCAACCCGACACAAACGCGAACGTCAACAAGCGGTTATCATCCCGGTCCAGGAAGGGGACTTAGATCTTAGATACATGGGTCATCCCATGAGCGGGTTGGTAGACATTTTGATAAAAATGCCCATTTACCTGTATTTACTATATTTCTGTTATGTAAAAGTATTTTTTGTTACTTGCAGAGAAAATATGAGAAAATAGGGTAAAATAATAAATAGTAGGAAAAGCATTACAATTTTCTATTCAATAATTGTTAGTTTTATTGAATAATTGTGATCAGCGGCCATAGGAACATCACTGTCTGAAGAGTGGATGGAAACAAATTCTGTTTCAGTATCACTAGCCGTAGATATAATTATTCGGTCCGTCTCTTCATCCAAGGCCGTCATTTTTTAAATATTCTTCCTCTAAATGTTCGACATGCGTGCACTGAGCTGCTCCAATCTTCCGCCATAATAGACTCAAAGGCCTCTTCAGTTCATTTTACTATTTCTTTTGGATCTTGTGCCACGTTCTTATCCGCCGCCTTTCTTTTTACAAGGCTCCAGATTTTCTCCATCAGGTTGAGTTCGCAATGGTAAGGCAACCTTAATACTTCGTGTCCGTGAGCAGTTAATAATTTATCCACTGCAAATATCGGTGGACCTTTATATTGTTTGAACTTTTTACAACTTTTGGCATTGTAAACAATCTTTAAAATGCATTAGGCTAGTTAAAACTCACAAAAATCTACCACTTGAAATTGACAACATCGATGAACGACAACATGGCCGACGTGTCACTGTCAAATTTAGTTCAAAAAATCACCGCGGTACTTCAAGAAAAGGACTAAGGAATAGGGTCCCGTTTTACCCTTTGATAAATACTTGAATTTTTATTGTATAATTAAAATAAACAAATGTTGATTGGTAATCTCAGATTATACATACTCTTTTGATGTCAACTCTGACCTTTTTGATTTATGTATTATGTTTGAATTACTTTAAATTTGGGATGTTAATTTTATTTGTTCAGACTGAATTGTGTCATAATTGATTAATTCTGCGATTAACTACTGCGGGTTTTAAAAAATATTTTGGAAAATAATGAGCAGACTGCGACCGCCACAAGTGAGGAATTATCCATAAA